GTGTTTTTTTGAATAGTAATTTTATGACGTGTCAAATTTTGACAATTCTTTTTCTCATTTTTGCTAAAGTTGTATAATTTTGTTTTCAAATTTCGGAATAAGTTTCTTTAAAATTTCAAATTCGAAAATTCAATTCACGAAGCTGAAGTACACAATGTTTACCAACGAAATTTTTTTTAAAAGTTGTATATTAATTCAAAAATTGTACAAAAAATTTATGATGAGAAAAAAGATGCGACAGGAAATTTCGTACAAGATAGTAATTTGAAAAAAATTTATTTTTAAAAATTAATTTTTAATGCACAAGGGGCCAACGAATACCTATTAAATATTAATTATAAAAACACAGGCCTCGAATTAACTTAAAGACACAAAAAAGTCGTTTTAGTCGATTTATATTCCAAAAAAAAAGTGGATTTGTTTTTTATTTTAACAAAAATATTTTACAGATTTTTAAATAAAAAAAAATTTTTTTTTTAATAATAATCCTTTTCGAAGGGTTAAAGTTGAAATTTTTAGAAATAATTAAATTTCAAAAGTTATTGTTAATTTCCAAACAATTATTAAATTTTACAGAACTAAAAATAATTTATCAAACAATTTTTGGAAAACATTTTTTAAATTTAATTGAATTTTCAAAGATTTAAAATTGAGTTTTTTGAAATTAATTGAAACTTTAAGTGTTTTGTAATTAAAATTTTAGATGATTTCACTAAACATTTATTAGAAAATGAGAACAAAATACAATAATTTGAAAATCATTTTTAATTGAAAAATGGTTTCAGATAGTTGAATTTTCAAAGAATATTATTAAAATAGTTAAAAATAATTGAATTTCCTTAGAGTTATAATTGAAATTATTAAATTTCAAAAAAAAAAAAAATTCGATGGAAAATTTTAGATATAATTAAATTTTAGATGCTTTTAAATTCAAATTATTGAAAATTCAATTAATTTTGAATTCAAAATTTTTGAAAAAATAATGAAATTTTTTTTTTGATTTTAAATTTGGAAAATAATTGAATTTCAGTTCATTTTGAATTGAAAATTTTGAGAAAAAATTGAATTTTTATTGAAATTTTCGATAATAATTGAATTTAAGTTCATTTTTGATTAAAAATTTGGATAATTAATTTTGAATAGAAATTTTAGAAAATAATTGAATTTTATTTCATTTTAAATTGAAAACTTGGTAAATAATTAAAATTTTAAATTGAAAATTTTGGATAATTATTGGATTTTTAATTGATTTTCAATTAAAATTTCGGGTAATAATTGAATTTTAGTTTATTTTGAATTGAAATTTTTAAAAAATAATTCAATTTTATTATGATATTTTTTGTTTTTAAATTATAAACAATTGTTAAATTTCATAAAAATTTTAATTGAAAAATAATTTTGATATAATTGAATTTGTGATGTATTTCATTAAAATTATTAAAAAATAATTAATTTAGTGAAGAATCATTTTAGTTCAAAATTTGTTAAATAATTGAATTGAATAAGATCTGAAGAAGATCTACATTTTATACTAAAAAAATTTGTATTTTATTTACATTTTTTTTCAAATGTAAAAAAAATTGTCGCATTTTATTAAAATAAATCGATAAAAGTCGTATTTTTGAAAAAAGACGGAAAATGTCGTATAATCCGAGGCCTGTAAACATATATAATTTTCATTATTATCGTTTAATATATGTAATAATATTCTAATAAATTAAATTATTATTGATAGTTTTAATTTTTAATTTCTTTATAACAAACAATTAAATACTCAATTTGGCGCGCGTTTAATTTTGCTAGTTTAAATAATAAATTTTTTAATACCGAATATAAAAATTTTTTTTAAATATTTCATTAAAAATTAAAATATTCGGAGTATTTAAATAATTGGTAGCTTTTAAAAAAAAAAAACCATTTTCTGATAAGAGCAAATATTCTTATTTCTTTGAATGTAATAAATCTCACTGACTAAAAGCAGATGAATATATAATATATGTGTATATAAAAAAAAGGAAAGTCGCGAAAAAACTTTTTCTCGCACTCTACGAAATGATGTAGTTTTTTTTACGAGCTTTCAACTCCTGAAATCATGACACTGGCAAATCCAGTTTTCTTCACAAATCAACGTAGAGAATCACATTGGTAACTCTCAAAACGATTTCATTTTTTTTTTTTTTTTTTTTTCTTTTTCTTTTTCTCGCTTTAAGAAGCAACTTCCAAGTTGGAAGCGACTAGTTTTCCTGGGAACAGTACCGGTTGTATTATGCCGTAATCAGTTTAACATTCTGTCGACGCGAAACGCCGATTGGGTTGTTTCTATATATATTCTATCCTATAAGATCGAGAGGAGATATATAAACCTAAGTTTCAAATATCGCTCAGGGCAAGACAGCTTTCTGTGTGTGATAAACTCCAAGTTGAATCGTGGGCAAGGCTGAACGTTTCCGTTTGAGCCTCGCCTATATCCGATCACTGTAAGATACTCTGCACAACAGTCCCATAATTAAAATATACAATGGAAAGGAGAACATAATTTTTTTTTTTCTCTAAATAACTCCACACCTTTTGAAATCAAAAAAAAAAAAAAAAAATTTTTTCTCTAATGCAGCAGCAAATTTAATTATTATCAGCGTTGCCATCGACAAAACGTGATCGATTGTTTTATAAACTGCTGTTTAGTGGTGTTTTTTTTTCTCTTTAATAAACACTATCTTATTAATTAATGTCCTGGAAGAGCAAAATATAATTTATTTCCAAAATTTTAAAATTTGTAATCTCTGAAAATTACTGAAAATTTTTTATTGGATTTTTGATACAAAAAAAAAAAATATGAATTTTAATTGTATAAAAAAATTTTTGTGTCCAAATTAATCAGGAAATTTTCAAATTAAATTCATATTTTATAAATTTTTTTTTCAGAATTTATTTTCTAATTATTATTTTAGAGCGAAGAAAAAATTCAAATAATCGTTGGACAAACAAATAAATATTTACTTAAATCCAAATTTTTATTTCATTCAAATATTTGAAGTAATAATTTTTGTATTTTAATTAATAATTTCTGTATTTGAATCAATATTTCTGTATTTGAAAAAAGGTACTAATAATTAATGACAAGACATCGATTTCAAATAATAATTATTATTTCAATACAGTATAATAAAATTACAAAATTTTATAAAATATTTGATAATAAAATCTAATTTGAATCTATCTGGGTAAAAAAATATATTTATTTGAAATAAATTAAATTAAGTAGTTTGAATTAAATTTTTCCGTGTAAAATTTAAAATAGTTTTTCTGTTTTGTTTTTTTTTTTAACAAGGGAAAGAAAGTTTGAATTTTTACACACACTCAAGAAATGTGGTTAATGATGATTAATGATTTTTTTCTGTACAAGGCCGCCGCGGTTTCACGCCTCTCTAAGCTAAAATATATACCGATATGCTAAGAATGTTATTTTTCTTCAGTTTGTTGTAATTTATAGTCGCAAATAAATTCCTTTAGAATGATTGACATGAGCGCATTAAATATACACAGAAAAAAAAATTTATTTAATGCAAATAATTTGTTACTTCACTATTATTAAAAAAAAAATTTATTTTATAGAAAATTAAAATTTTTTGCTGAAAATAAATATTTATTTAATAGAAAAAATAATTTTTTTGACGCAAATAATGATTTTTTGATACAAATAAATATATTTATTTTATAGAAAAAATAATTTTTTTGTATCAAACAAATATTTATTTACAGCAAAAATTAATTATTGGATATAAGTAAATATTTATTTCACAGAAAAAATAATTTTTTGTACCAAAGAAATATTTATTTACAGCAAAAAATAATTATTTCATAGAAAAAATAATTTTCTGTATCAAAGAAATATTTATTTACAACAAAAATAATTTTCTGTATCAAAGAAATATTTATTTACAGCAAAAAATAATTATTTCATATAAAAAATAATTTTCTTTATCAAAGAAATATTTATTTACAGCAAAAAATAATTATTTCATAGAAAAAATAATTTTCTGTATCAAAGAAATATTTATTTACAACAAAAATAATTTTTTGTATCAAAGAAATATTTAATTGATAAAAAAAATAATTTTTTGTACCAAAGAAATATTTATTTACAGCAAAAAATAATTATTTCATAGAAAAAATAATTTTCTGTATCAAAAAAATATTTATTTACAACAAAAATAATTTTCTGTATCAAAGAAATATTTATTTACAGCAAAAAATATTTCTTTGATACAGAAAATAATTATTTGACACAAATAATAATTTTTTGTATCAAACAAATATTTATTTACAGCAAAAATTAATTACTGGATATAAATAAATATTTATTTGATTCAAATAATAATTTTTTGATACAAATAAATATTTATTTCGCAGAAAAAATAATTTTTTGTATCAAACAAATGTTTATTTCACAGAAAAAATAATTTTTTGTATCAAAGAAATATTTATTTACAGCAAAAAATAATTATTTCATAGAAAAAATAATTTTCTGTATCAAAGAAATATTTATTTCATAGAAGAAATAATTTTTTGTATCAAACAAATATTTATTTGATAAAACAGAAAAAATTATTTGGTGCATAAATAAATATTTATTTTATACAAAAAAATAATTTTTTGATAAAAATAATAATTTTCTGATACAAATAAATATTTATTTTTTGTATCAAACAAAAGTTTTTTTTTGCAGTAAATATTTATTTACATGCAAAAGATAATTTTTTGAATCAAGTAAATATTTATTTACATCGAATAATTATTAATTGAATTAAAATATATTTATTTTCAATATACATAAATTCAAATACAGTTTATTTGGAACAAAATAAAAATTACTTTTCTTCGAAATAATTAATTTCTATATACCAAATATATTGGTGGAATGGTGGTTTCAGGTAAATTTACATCCAAGAGAGTGTTACTAATATTTTTTTTTTTTTTTTTTTTTTCTCCCTATTTTCCAGGTGGTTGTGGAGAGTTCGACAGTGGCCCTTGAGTACGGTGACCTCGAGATTGACGTCGACAAAGCGGTGAACTCTGATTTGCTCTTTGACTCACAGTTGATGCACCTCTATGTACTGACAGAGAAGAAGGTCTCAAAGGTGAAGGTCCAAGAATGTTCAGTATATAAAACATGCTGGGAATGTCTTGGCGCTAAAGATCCATATTGCGGTTGGTGTTCATTGGAAAATAAATGCAATTTAAGAAGTGATTGTCAAGATGCAGCTAAGGATCCACTTTATTGGATATCGTATAAAAGTGGACGTTGCACAACAATAACAACAGTAACACCAGAACAATTACAAAGAACAACAGCAAGAACATTGGAGCTTGTCATTGAAAATTTACCAACATTATCGGGACAATTTTTATGTGCATTTTCAGCACTTGACAAGACATTGATTACAAATGCTACCAGGAAATCGTATGGAGTGAATTGTACAACACCAAGAACTGACCTTCTGCCATCAATTCCAGAGGGTCAACATCATTTTACAGCGAGATTATCAGTGAGAATGACCAATGGTCCTGACCTGGTGGCAACTAATTTCACCTTTTTTGACTGCAGTACACACACATCATGCACTCAATGTGTCTCGTCTAGCTTTCCATGCGATTGGTGTGTTGATGCACATCGTTGCACTCATGATTCTGCTGAAAATTGTCGGAATGATATTCTCGTTAATGGTGTCAGTGTAAGTATCATCCTTTTTCTTTTTTTAATGAAAAATTACAAAAATATCATTTTCAATTTATCAGATTTCAATTTTTTCAAATTTAACAGATATTTCTACTAAATAAAATATTAAATAAAATTACAGAATTGCTACAAATCACAAGGTGCGCCAGAAGGTGATTTAACAAGGGACAAAATTTATTTAAGAGAGTCGAATGGTCTCTGAAATTCTTTGGAAAGAAGAGACCTTTAATTATCGCCCTATAAAAACGGCACTAAATGTAAAAATGATAAACATTAATTTTAAAATACTTTCTTCTTGAAAGACGGAAACTTTTTTACAAAAGCAACTAGAGATTCTTATCTTATATAAATTTCCTAAATCCAAAAGATTATGCGAATCCATACAAAAATACGATTGCAAAACGAAAAGTAATATAATGAGGGGTTCATTACCTCCTGCCGCCGTCAGATGGCAGCAGCATGCAGGGCGCACAAAGTCGCAGCTGTTATTAGATTACTTTTTCTACTTTTTTGTTTTGCAACCATGTTTTTCTATGGATTCGTACAGTCTTTTGGATTTAGGAAGTTTATAAGATGAGGATTTTGGCTGATTTTGTTAAAAGTGTTCGTGTTTCAAGAAAAAAGTATTTTAAAATGAATACTATTTCACGTTGAGAGCGATAATTAAAACTCTCTTCTTGCTAAAGAATTTCAGATACCATTCGACACTCTTAATGCATAAATATAAAAACAAAACAAGAAAATAACTTCAATGTTAATAAATTTATATGAACCCAAATCTAAAACATCAATTTTCTATACGCATATAAGTATAGATTAAATAAATTCTGGTTCCTCATAAAACACTATTTTTATATATTTAAAACTCAATTTTTTTTTAATTTGGCACGTAAGTTGATTTTAAAACCTATTGAAAAATGGTTTTTATTTATTTAAGAAACATAATCAAAAAGAATTTTTATTTAAACCTCCTTATGGCGCACCGTGGTCAGGGAAGTCAGGAAATTTAGTAAAAAAAAAGTGCTGGAAAAATTTTCTAAATCTCGATTTCCATTAAAATATTTATTTTTTATGAATTTATATAACAAAATAAAGTTAAAAAATTATTTGTTCAATTTTCTATTTGACCCAAGTTTTATGTGATCGAAATATTTCATTTTAATAAAATTTTTGATAGAATTTAAATTTAATAATAGAAAAAACGAAAATGTCAGGGAAAAAGTACAAAATTTTTATCTGGAATTCAGGGAAAATTATATTGAATTACTAATAAATAAATTACTAAAATGAAATAAAATATTTGATCAAATATATTAAATTCTTCCATATTTCGAAATTCCATTAAATTTAAATATTCTGTATTTGTTGTAAATACAAATTTTTTTTGTCTAAAAATTGTCAAATAAAAGAAATTTTATTTTATTTAAAAATTCAGATAAATAGAAATTCTATTTTCTAAATATTCGAATTAAAAAAGAATTTGGTAGAGTAAAAATTATTAAAATTTTATTTTATCATCAATTTTGATTTATAAATTAAATAGAAAATAGGTATTATACACAAAAATAAATAAATAATTTTAAGGGAATATTTTGTGCATTCCGAATTTCCTAATAATTCAAATTCTTTAAATCAATAGACCAAAAAATGGAAAAAAAAACTTGGTATTTATTTTTTTAAATCTGATACGCGAACAGTGGCTTTATTTTTATATATTTTATTCTTCCATAAATATTCAGAAAGTGCAAAAATATTTCTATTTTTACGATTTTAATATTTGCTTTTAGCTAAAAAGTTATTAAAGGTTCAAATAGTGAATTCAAAAAAATCGAATATTTAAAAAGAAAAAAAATTTTTATAAACTTTTTCTACCTCTAAATTTTTTGTGATAAATCTCTAAAATACCCACAGGAAAAAAATGATAAACAAGTAAAATATTTTTCATTTTTAAATATAATTAATTTATTCATATTTAAATAAATACATTAATTAAACGATTTTTTTTGCATATTTATATTTAAAAGTAGATCGTTTATTATTATTTTTCTTTTTTTTTTTTGAAGAAAAAGAGAAACTTTTTTAATTGAAGGAAAGAATAAAACTCCTTAGTAAAATAATTGGTATCTCATTAAGAGAGGAGAAAAAAAATCTTATTTGCGAAAGAACATGAAAAAAAAGGAAAATATAATATTTATCCTTTATATTATTTGGTAAAAAATTATCTCAAAAATAATACGAATATTCTTGTTAAATATAAATTTAATATAATTTACCATATATCGTGATGGGTTTCAAATCGATTTTAACGAATATATAAACATTAATTATTAAAATATTCAGTTTCCATCAAGTGGAAAATTAATCCCAGTACATATTCAATTATGCATTTTGAAGATAGTGAAATATTCAATTTCAGAGAGAATTGTAATGTTTAATAATATTATACATTATGAGAAATTATTTATAAATAAATTAAGAATTCTGACTTATATTCAATCGCTTGAAATTTCCATGAAAATAGATCAAAATGTCTCATCTGATTGTTTTTTTTTTTTGCACATTTTTTTTCTTCTTCGAATAAAATCCATCTTGACAGATAATATATTATTATAATTTTATTTTTATATTTTTCATGTCCTTTTTTTCAATTTTATCGAATTTAAATTAAAAATTTTAATTTAAATAATAAATTTAAAATACATTTTTTGGCCCCTCTTTATGGAAATTGAATCTTGAATCATTAAATTTTTATTAGTCATTGAACGAGAAAATGAAAATTAACATTAGGGTGACAAGTCGAGCGATAAACTTGAATTCATTTAACGCGCCGTTAACATTTTTTTTTACATTTTAAAATCAATTTGAAAATTATATTTTCTATATATATTTTTTTTTTATTTTATTACAGAGAATGGGTCCAAGTTTTAGAAGTGGACCTGCTTTTTGCCCGACAATCAACGCAACTGATACACAGGAAATTCTCGTGTCTTCCGGTATCAAAAAGGCAATACGCGTAAAAGTTCATATTATTGGCGTAAGTTGAAAATTTTAATTATTAAATATTTTTTTTATATTCTCATTAATTGAAATTCATTGAAAAAAATATTTTGAAAAACAAATTGAATTTTCTTTTTTTTTCCAGCAATTTATCATACAAACACGATTTGTGTGTCAATTCAATATTGAGGGACGTGTGACAAGTGTAAATGCACGACTTTTGGCAGATACGATTTACTGTGACGACACTGAATTCTCGTATGCTTCACGAACACAGAACATCACTGTACCATTTGCTGTGATCTGGGGCGGTTCTAAGCCATTGGACAATCCTGACAACATTCACGTTGTGATCTATCGATGTCGTGACATGGCCGATAATTGCGGTATGTGTCTCGCTCTTGCACAGAAATTTGGCTGTGGCTGGTGCCAGAGTTCGGACAGATGTGAAGTCAAAGATCAATGCGATCGTGGCGTTGGCGTTTGGCTCAATCGAAATCAAACATGTCCAAATCCTGAGATACATTCTTTTGAGCCAATGATGGGTCCATGGGAGGGTAATACAAATGTTACAATTCGTGGCATCAATCTTGGAAAAACATTTGACGACATCTACGCTGGAGTCTCAGTTGCTGGTAAATTTTTTTTTTTTTTTTGTCTCAATTTAAAAAATTCTCTATTTTATTTTTTAAATCGTTAATTCTTAAAATACTAACTAGCAAAATTACACTTTGAATGCAATGGTTGTTTTAAAATAATAATAATTTTAAATTAATAATAATAATAATTCTGCATCAGTGGAGTAATAAATATTGTGAATTGATAGTAAAAAAATAAGATTTTTAAGTAAAAATTTTAAAATATAATTTTTTTTGTATTTTTTATAAATCTTTCGTTGCAAATGAAAATTTTAAATTTATCTTTTTTTTCAACAATTTTTAATTAATTGATAATTAATAAATATTAAAAAATTATGTAATCAAAAAGAAAATTAAATTAACTGAAAATTATTAATTATATTTTAAAAAGTATTAAGCAATTAAAAAATATTTAAAAATGTTGAAAAAATAAAACCTAAAAAAAAACTTTGTAATGTTTTAAACTTTAAACTTAAATTAACAATTAAAATCAAATTGAAAATTTTTTTAAAAAGCAAAACTATTTTTATATTGTGTACAGATAAAAAAATATAACAATTTAATAATTAATAATAAAAACAAATTAATAATAATAAATTTATGAGTAATAATATAATAATAAATAATAATGAATAATGAAAAAATAATGAAAGAAATAATAATTATAAGTTAAAATGTTTTAATTATCTGTAATAATCATTATATAAAAAAATGTATATATATATATATAATAAATTTATAAATCAAGAATTGTCAAAATTTTAGAAAAACAAAAGGAATGAAATACGACTAACTTCAAGTGTGGACAGACGGAATGAATGAATACGGAAATTATTATAGTTAATTTTTAATTTAAAAAAAATAATTAATTGAATAATTTTATTAGTTTCTTATGCTTTGAATTTTTTTTTAATTTAGAAACAGAAATTAATAAATATTTTTTTTTTTTCGCAGGAATTCAATGCCAACCATATCGTGAATTATATGTACGTACAAAACAAATAGTTTGTCGTGTCGATGGTCCAGGTACATCGGAATCAAGAAAAGGACCAGTTATTGTAAAAATAGAAGACTTTCGCGGCGAGTCAGAGTATAATTTTGAATTTGTTGATCCAGTAATAACGGCAATTGATCCACAAGAAGGACCAGTGAGCGGTGGAACAACAGTGAGAATTTATGGTTCATATATGAACGCTGGAAGTAAAATACAAGCGTTTATTGATAATTTACCATGTATGATAACAAGTACTGAACCAACTGAGGCACAATGTATGACAAGTGCAAGTGATCAACCATTAAATGGCACATTAAAAATGTTTTTTGACGAAGGAATTCGTGTTTATAGTGGAAAATTCCGTTATGTTCCCGATCCAACAATTGAAAGTGTCGAAAGTGGCGTCGGTGGACAAATGAAAGTACCAAAAGGAATTCCAGATGGTGGTATAAAAATATCAGTAACTGGCAAAAATCTTGCTGTAATACGATCACCACAAATGTATGTTTATTTTGATGAGAAAATGTTTGTCTCACGTTGTACAGTACTTTCTAATACGAGCATGACTTGTGATTCGCCATTAATTGAAATACCAGATCATTTGACGCTCGACGCTGAGAGACCTTTATTATTGGAATATGGATTTCGAATGGATAATGTAACTGGTGTTCAAAATTTATCGCAAGTTTTGTCAAATCATTTTCTTTTGTTTCCAAATCCAATTTATGATTTATTTGATGAAGAGGTGAAATATTATAAAAGCGATTATTTGACAATTAATGGACAGCATTTGGATCGAGCGAGTCAAGAATCTGATGTTGTGGTACAAATTGGTAATAGTTATTGTAATGTAACTTCATTGTCGAGACAACAACTCACTTGTAGACCACCATTAACGCAACCACGAGCTATTGATAGTAATGGCCTACCATCGAAAGAATTGCCTGAAGTTGTTGTGATTGTTGGATCAAAATTACGTTTTAAAATTGGAAAATTAAGTTATGCATTGCCAGCTGGTCTTAATGGACCATTATCAAAACCAGCGCTTATTGGTGTAATTGCCGCTATTGTTATTTTGGTCTTTGTGTTTATTGCCTTTCTCATTGCTTATCGACGTAAATCAACAGAGAGTAATCGTGTTCTTAAAAATATGCAAGAACAAATGGATATATTGGAATTACGTGTCGCTGCCGAATGTAAAGAAGCATTTGCTGAATTACAAACTGAAATGACAGATTTAACGGGTGATTTAACAAGCGGTGGAATACCATTCCTTGATTATCGTACATATGCAATGAAAATTTTATTTCCAAATATGGAAAATCATGTTGTTCTTCAATGGGATAGACCTGAATTGGCACGAAAAGAAAAGGGTCTACGTTTATTTGGACAATTAATAATGAACAAAACATTTTTACTATTATTTGTTAGAACACTTGAGAGTAATCGATATTTTACAATGAGAGATCGTGTCAATGTTGCAAGTTTAATAATGGTTACACTACAAAGTAAAATGGAATATTGCACCGATATTTTAAAGACATTACTCGCTGAAGTTATTGAAAAATGCATGGAGGGAAAAAGTCATCCTAAATTATTACTGAGAAGGTAAATTTTCGATTTAATTTTTTTTTTTAAAACTTTTTTCTTGTTTTTTAATTATTTTTTCTTTATACAGAACCGAGAGCGTTGCAGAGAAAATGTTGTCTGCTTGGTTTACTTTTCTGTTGTATAAATTCATGCGAGAGTGTGCAGGCGAACCATTGTACATGCTTTTCCGTGCAATGAAGCAGCAAGTCGATAAAGGGCCCGTAGATGCTATCACATCAGAGGCAAGGTACTCCTTGTCGGAAGAAAAGTTAATCAGACAATCTATTGATTTTAAACACATGGTGAGTAATAATGTCGTTTCATTTTATTGTCCATTTATTTTGATTTGAAATAAAAATAAATTTTTTTTTTTGTTACAGACTGTCTATGTGTCAATTTCACAACAGACAGTTTTTGTCGGTGGAATGGATCCAAATACAGAAAACGTTCCCGTTAAGGTTTTGGATTGTGATACGATTTCTCAGGTTAAGGAAAAATCGCTTGATACCATCTATAGGGCAACACCTTACAGTCAAAGGCCAAGGAAGGATGATCTTGATTTGGGTATGTTTTGTTTTTTATTTTATTTTAATTTTTATTAGAGAACTAATTTTGATTTTGTATTTGTAGAATGGAGAACGGGAGCCTCTGGTAGATTAATTCTCTACGATGAGGATTCAACGACAAAAACAGAATGCGATTGGAAAAAGAGAAATACATTGAATCATTATCGTGTACCTGATGGTGCATCGCTTAATCTTGTCTCAAAGCAGTCTTCTATTTATAATTTATCGATATTATCTGAGAAAACTGACAAATCACACAAATATGAGACATTAAATCTTAGTAAATTTAATTCAGCGAGTCCTCCATTATCACGTGCAACATCGCCATTAAATCATGATCACGATGGTGGTTTAAAGGTTTGGCATCTTGTTAAACATCATGATTCAGATGCACAAAAGGAAGGCGAACGTGGTAATAAAATGGTTTCGGAAATTTATTTAACAAGACTGCTGGCAACGAAGGGTACCTTGCAGAAATTCGTAGACGATTTATTTGAGACGATATTCAGTACGGCACATCGTGGTTCTGCATTGCCGCTTGCCATTAAATACATGTTCGACTTTCTTGACGATCAAGCGCTTCATCATGGCATATCCGATCCCGAAGTGGTTCACACGTGGAAAAGTAATTCACTTCCACTTAGGTTTTGGGTGAATCTCATTAAAAATCCAAATTTTGTTTTTGACATTCACAAATCGAATATTGTCGACTCATGTTTATCAGTTGTTGCACAAACATTTATGGACAGTTGTTCAACATCTGATCATAGATTAGGTAAATTTTTCTACATCTATTCATTTTTTTTTTTTTACAGCAAATATAATTAAAATGATTTTAAAACTTAAATTTTGAATATAGGCAAAGATTCACCGAGTTCGAAGTTGCTCTACGCCAAGGACATTCCAGTGTACAAAGAATGGGTGGAGCGCTACTACTCCGATATAAAAATCATGCCTGCCATTTCCGATCAGGATATGAATGCAATGCTCGCCGAAGAATCTAGAGTGAGTATATATTTATTGAATGACTGGACTGAATGGAAAAAAAAAGATAAAATTGCACATACTTCGTGGGAACGAGTTGATTTAAGATTAATTTTTTTTTTGTTTTTTATTTTACAGTTGCATACAACTGAGTTTAATACGAATTGCGCCCTCTATGAGCTTTATACGTATGCAGGAAAGTACAACGAACAATTGATAGTGACTCTTGAGGAGGATGAATTCTCGCAGAAACAGAGGCTGGCGTATAAGCTTGAACAGGTTCACAATATAATGGCAGCTGATGCCAATCCCTGATGCCCCATGAACTCAGCAAAGTACCTAACGAAACCACGTCAGGAGCTACCTTGCTGAGTCATGACGATAAGCATTGTCGATAAATTGCCAAGCGTACTGGCGGCCTATTACTGCTTTAATCGCTCGGGCCAGTTCCTCCTCGACCAAGTTCTTCAACAAACGAAGATGAAAAAGAAGAAGAAGAAGAATAAAAAGAAGAAAAAGAGAGGAGAAGACGTTGGTAAGATGGTGCATGAGTGACGCGCCAAAAAAAAATCAAGGAATAAATAGATAAAAGTAAGTCTTATTAAGCTATTACGGCCGTGCTTCAAGGGCTGAAGAGGATCGTTGCATTTGTATGCATTTGAAACAGGGTCAAGAAGGACACTCGTGATCGTTCCTCTTTCTTTTTTTTTTTTTTTTAATTCTTTTTCTTTATCTTTTCTCGTTCCATGTGCATCTCCTCGAGTTGATTAAACCACGATTATTCGTGTTTACAGTCTTCTTGATGGCCGCTGTTTGGCAGGTGTGAAAAGGGAAAATATTTTTTTTCCCATATGCGCAATTGTAAATACTAATTATAAAAAACACGATATCGTATTAGGATACTAATGAAATGCTCACACCACAATGGCGGCCCCCGAATTTCTCTTCAACATATATATACGTGTGAGAAAGGTCGATTTATCAAATATTGAACAAAAATTATATGTGCCCGACGCATCGGCGCTGTTTTTTTTTTTAAAAAAAAAAAAAAAAAAAAAAAAAAAAAGAAAACGAAAACAAATTTCCATCCACCGTTATTTACTAACCGGAGCTCGTGTCGATTTGCGTCGAGCGACAGGGCTCACGGGATTACGATAAGTAGCAATAAGCTAATTATTGAATAATTGATATGAATATTAATATTATTATTATTATATATATATGAATGGTATGTCATATGTATATGTGTACATATATACACTTTAGACAGGCGCAGCGCATGTGTATGTATATATATATATTCTTTTCTCTCCCCAATTCCCCCTTTAAAAAGAAAAATCGAATCCCCCCCCTCTTTATTAAATCTTTTTGTGCATCCAGGATGCGTTATTGGGAAAAAAAACACAAATACAAATAAATGAATATAAATATATATATATATAAATAAATAAATATATATATATACGTTTAAGAAATTAAAGGAGAAACAAAGATGCATTTTTTGCGGAAAAAAGATAAAAAACACAAAAAAAAAAAAAAAAATGGAGAACAGACTGTTCATTAGTTTATAGGATATTATTGTATCTGGACTATGGCCGCGCGCGCGCGAGGCCAGTTCAATGTGACGGTTGTGTTGAGTGTGCGTGCTTCCTTTTTCTTTTTTTTTTTTTTTTTGGTTTCCGGTTAGAAATGTTCTTTTGAAACGCTTCTTTTCTATAACAATTAATAGTTTCAATAATCATTTTTTTTTATTGATACTGTGATTTTTTGTTTCTTCAAACATTCCTTCAGTGATATAATACAATTTTTTATTATTGTTTGTATATATTAAAATTTATTTTTTATTGTGTGATATATATATATTTTTTTTTTATTAGAGAGAGAGACTGAAATATTCAACAAGGTTTTAGAGGAACAAATGCCTTTCTTTATATTTCACTGCCACGGGGTTGATTTTTTTTTTTTGAACATTTAGATACTCGTTGATGAACAACGTTGATAGCTCTTTGTTTTCCTTTCCGTGACAATTTTTTTTTCGAAAATTTGTCAATTACAGATAAAGTTGTTTTTTTTTGAAAAATTTATCTAATGATTCGCAATTAAGAATCAATAAATAGAATTAAAGTTTTTGATTTATGTACAGAAATTTTTTGATCCATTTTAGATCAATAACTGTTTAATAAGACTTTTAAAACAAAGCACAAAAAACTGCCATTTAAATATACGTGATGCCAAATAGATGATACATATGATACTATAGAGAACCAATTAATGTTAACGTGAAGAAAGGCAATTTTCCTCTTGAAATATTTTTTTCTATTTCACAAATTTTTATAATGAAACAAATCAGACATTCTTTACAATCAAAGAATTTTTTTTTTGCCATAATTAATCTCGATTTTAAACTTGAAAGTTAAAAAAAAGGGTAAAATAAAATGAAAAATTATGAAAAAATTCAATAAAAATTAAAGAGTGTCTGATTTGAAATGATGAATGATTTATTAAGGAAGTTCAAATAAATAATGCTCGTAAAAACAAGAAAACTATAATAAATAAAAATTATTTATCTACTAATAATTATTATTAATTTTTTATTTTGAATTTTATCATTTAATTTTTAACTTTAGTTATTTTAACCATTTTTTTTTTTTATTAAATTATATAAAGTTTTAATATTTCTTTTTAGAAATAAATTTATTACAAATGGCGTTTAAAATTTATTTTAATTTTTTTCTTATTTCTCTGGAAATTCACATCAAATTATTTGAACATCCTTGTAATTTAAAAAGCGTTTCATAAGTACATTCCCGGCTTCCAAAAATCTACAAATATTCCATTAATTTCATCACGTTATTAATCCCCCTCCCCCTTTTCTCATCGACGTTATCATCTGCCATATAAATCATCATCAACATTGTTGCTATCACGTCATTGCCATTGTCATTGTCATATATAAGATATATTATGCGCAAAGGCTCTTTTTATCCTCCGAGGTGCGAATACCTCACTGTTTTTTTTTTATAAAATATTTATCATTGTCCAAAAAAAAGAAAAAAAGACCGTCATCTCTTTATCATCTCGTTTTGCGAACTGCCTTGTATCACTTTCCCTTGTCTTCAAAATAAAAAAAAAAAAAAAAAAAATGCTTCAACGCCTCCGTCGTCATGTTGTTGTCGCTCTTAAATAATAATTGTAATATAATAACGAATAATGATCACTGTTGAGTATTGTCTGATTGTAATACATTGATATCGAATTGATATGAATTGATAATCATTAATTAACGTGACATTACTCCGTGAATGTAAAACCATATTGGTGTGAATTGCGATTAAAAAAAAAAAAAAAAAAAAAAATGTTATGAATGTGAAAATTTATGATTCCGAGAGTGCATTTTTTCGGGAATGATTGTCCTGTGCGTCAATTCAATGTGCAAGTCGTACGTGGAGAAAGTATTTATTGCTCAAAAATATCGGGAAGAATCGGGAGATTCCAAAATGGAAAAAAAAATAATAATAATGGAGATGGAGAGTAAAAAAAAGGAAACTCAGAGCTAAAAGAAACTCGCGAAAAGGGAACGGAGGTAGTAGGGTAGAATGTGAGAAACAGTGGGAAGGGGGGAGGTTGTTCTTAGGGTTCGAAAATACATTATACAATAACATTCATGTTAATACAAATTTTAGAAAATAAAACAACACTAATGTTGGACAAATTAATAAAAGCTAGAAAAAAAACTGATATTCAATTAAAAAATTAATGTTGAAAAAGCTCTAATGGTTAAAAAAAAAAATACATGCTTAATTCGTAGACTATTTTTGTCTAGGAAAAAAAAGCACTTCCTTCTTCTTCGATATAATATATATGCATAAACGTTGAACGTTATTTAGTTCAGAATTGTAAACTTTTATAAGCTTTTTGATAAAGTTTGTAACTTTAATTAAAAAAAAAAAAAAAAAATTATTTTTGAACCCTACTTGATGTTTATACTTGGTGAAATATATAGTACATGAGAGGAAGGTAAATCTGTCGAAAAAATTGATACGGAATGAAAAATGGAAAATAAATTTTGAAAAAAATTTCTAATAATTGATAATAATAAAATTGAAAATCCGCAAACTTTTTCGACAGATATAGGGAGACGGACGGAGAGAATCTGAAAAGACGAGGTTGCCGGCTCCGGGCCAAAAAAAAAAAAAAAAAAAAAAAAATTGGAACAATTTGATTATAATCTGCTCTGAAACGATATGAAGGCGTGCGTTTGCCTCCCCCCGCGCACGTCATTTTCTAATGGTACTAATAAACCCAAAGTGCCTCTGGTAGATTTTTGGGCATAAGCTTGAGTAATGAAAAAAAAAAAAAAAAAAAAAACCTATAATAATGACAATTATTCGAGATAGAATATTGAGAGAAGGAACGCAAAGAAATATTATTAGGGGGAAAAAAAGAAAACTGATAAAGCTTGATAAAACGATGCTGATGATAATAAAATGAAAAAAAAAAAAAGAAATTTCAATGTGACGAATCTGAAACAATACCATACGTATATACATACGTATAAAGCTTAGTTGTATATGTATGCATATCGTGTGTGTATATACACTCTTTAAATGTACGTTTAGATAGGTACGATAAAAAATAGTTGGTAGCCTAGTCTATGTCTGTCTGTCTGCCCTGAGTGTCTTTCCCAGTGTTCTCCTTAAATATAAATATTTATATATATATATATACATATATATACATATATATGTCATCCAATTCCCTTTTTATCATCTCGGCAAATTAATACGTCCAACAGGAATTTCTTGTCAATTTTTTTTTTTTCAAATAATTAAATTTTTTTCTCTTATAACTTGAAAATTAATAAAAATGAATTTAATTAATAAATTTGAATATTAATTTTTTAATTAATGACTAGAAATTCTTGATTGACATAAAATTGGATATTTAAAAATTTATTTTTCCCTATATATAATATAAAAGACAGATATACAATTTCACAACAAGACACACGCGTTCTCCACTCATCTCACTTGACTCTCGATTGGCACATAAGTTTTTGCTAAATAAATGAGTATCGTATATCAATGGTTCCTCATCGATTTTTATCGAATAATAAGCGCCCCTTCCCCCCTCACCCCCACCGATTTGTAAAATTCGATTAAAATATAATGTTGTGTATGTTACTTCTACCAAGTACCGTACGTGCGTGGCTTGCTGTCCAGCAGTCTGATGTCGTGTGCGTATTTGCTGTGTTAAATTAATAAATAATTGTATGCACGACGACGAATGAATATATATATATATATTTTTTTTTCCGTCTGTTCTCGACTAATTGTCCTGATCGTTTCTCTTTGAATTCTGTTTGGCAACTTAGATGGAGAAAAAAAATTTAAAAAAAAAAAAAAAATTTTTTTTTATTAAAATAAAAAAAGAAAATCCAATTGATGACAGAGAGTAACGATAGAGGATGAAAATAAATTAAATTTGAAAGGGAGAAAGAGAGAGAGAGAGAGAGAAAGAGTGTGTGTATGAGTGATTTAATGTGGACTGTGCAAGACTGAGAGATGCAACGATGGTAATCCTTCGTATCAAAACGAAAATTCCATTGTCGCTCATTTTTACGTCATAATTATTAATTAACGAATACATATAAATAACGCATTCGACATGATTACGTTATTAATTTTTTAAAATAGTCATGTTCCTTTCAAATATTTTTTTTTTTTTTCATTTTTCAAATAATTTAAATTGATAAAAATTTGATATCGAATTTTGGATATATACAATTATTTTCTAATTGTTTTTAATCTTAAATATATATTATATATATATATATATATAAATATAAATATTATAAATAATGCCGTTTTTAAGTTATCCAATTTTATTATTATTATTATTTTTGTATAAATGTGTGATTAATAGTATGGATAGTGTAATAATTTTGTATGTTTATTGAGAACCAAAAATAAATATTATTGATAAAGAATTGTAATTAATTGTTTAAATTTTTTTATACACTCCATATTTTATTGTATTTAATTTATATGTTACATTTTTTGCTTCATTTAGTTTTCTTGAAATTAATTTTTTTTTTTTAAATTTCTCTCTACACATTTTTGTTTCAAAATGAGATTTATTCTTAATCGGTAATTACAGAAATCCGATAATATTTCACGATCATATAATCGGAAATTTAATTAACTTTATGTGAAATTTCCGATTATAAGAAAAGAATAATATTAATTTTTTTCGATCCCAGAAAAACATATAAATTTATTTTTCATTGATTTATTATTTTTTATAATAATATTTCTTTATTATAATATTTCTGAGCATATATTTATTCTTGTATATATGCATAAGAATTAGAGTAATAAGAAAATTGATAAAAAAAATTTTTTTAATTTAATTATCTAATCCGATAAGAGAATTCAGTATATTTAATGTAGTTTTAACGAAACTTCGAATTTCAGATGAAAACCAAGTCAAGTAACTTGAGAAATCTTTTTTTCCTTCTTCAGGTTTATTAATACTTTTTATACTGCAAAAAAAATATATATATATAAATGTTAATTGATTAAATAATAATTTAGAATTTTATAATTAATAACAATTTTAAATAAATCTGAAAAAATGATAAAAATAATTTAAAGAAAATAAAAATTTTTTTAAGAACAATATATATTTTTTTTTAAATAAAATAATTAACTTACAAGTGAATAATATTATTCTTGAATATTTTCTCATTATTGTTATATTCAATATTGTCAATTTTTTTAACATTATCAATTTTTTCTTCGTTATCATTAATTTTTTCTTTTTCATCAAAAGATAAAAGACCCTCTTCCGTTAAGTCACAAAATGTAGTTTGAATTAATGCAAAGAAAATAATTATTACTTTCATTTTTCTCATTTTGCTTTTAACAAACTTGAAAATTCAATACCAACTGTTTCAATGTTCTTATTAGAAAAGAATAAGTCATTGTCTTTCTTTCAATAAATTATGAAAAAAAAAAAATATTTTTATCATTTCAATAACAATAGCATTGTTTCTTGTATTGTTTCTATTCTTTTAAATTATTATTATATTTATTTTTATAGCTAAAAAATGAAATTAATTTTTAACTATACTAAATGGAAAAATAATAGAATTAGGAAGAAAATAAAAAATGGAGAAAGAAGAAAAAAGGACAGCAAAAAAAAAAAAAAGGTGAATAATATTTGAAAATAAATTTATAAAATTCATTATTCTCGTACATATTTTTGGTAAATTTTTCTTAAAATATTTTCATTAACTTCATTATTAATTGCAGATGACGAGAGGTGCTTCATTTTCTCTTCGATATTTCGTTTTTTTAATGGAAATGTAGTCAGTGATGATGAGAAGAATTTTTTTATTTCTAATGGAACACTTGTTGGTAATTTTTTTTTCTCATTACAAAATTTATTATTCCAACATTTATTATTAAATTCTTTATTATCTGATTTTCTTCTAGATTTACGACGATCCCTTATCATTGTTTGATTTAATTGGCATAATTCACCTTGTGATGGATCCATGGAAACAATGCCCAAAAATGCAAGAAAATTTGTTATTTTACAATTATCAATTAATTCCGATTCATTCAATGAATCAACATTAATTGTTCGTTCGGTGGTGAATGATGCTGGACGTGGACGCAATGGACGCATTGGACGAATTGGACGATTTGGACGATTTGTTATAAATGCAGGATTTGCAGAATAATAAGGTTTGTACGAAGTTGTTGATGGTGTTATGGTGGATGGAGGTTGAATTGGTTCTTGTTTAATTGTTGTTATTGTTGGACGATTATCATGATCCTTTTCGCAATCATGTTTTTTTGGAATAAACATAAAACTATCGAGTCCTTCAATAATGAGCATGCCACCAGTTTTTCTTTTATCTTGCAAAATGAGTCCCGCATCTGGAAAATTTCTCATATTATCAGAATCAATTGACAATTCATTTTTAGATGATTTATTGTTTGATTGTTTATCACTTCTTTTGAATTTCTCTAGATTAGAACTCATGTGAACTTGAAATAAATTGAGCGTGATGATGATAATAATTCGACTGAATTTCAACATCTTGAACCACATTCGAGAAACTAGATTACAATCATTTTTTTAAACTTTATATTTTTTTCTTTTTTTTTTTTTATTAGAATTCCGTAAATCACTTCACTTACTAGCTCGAATCAATTTAATGACGGTCGATTGAATTCTGAAATAGTGATTTCTTGAACTGAAATTTAACTGTCGCAGAGAAATAAAAATCTTGTGACGCAAATATTTCCATTAAAGAAAATTTTTTTCATATATATGAAAGCAGAATTAAGAAATCTCATTTTTTGAAAAAAATTAAAATCAAATTTTTAGTAAACTAAAGAATTATAATTGAATATTTTTAAATCAATTAATTTTATTGTTAAAAAATTTAATGTAGTAAATTTTGTTTTTTAAAATTGTGAAATTTAAAAATTATTTTCGAATAATTATATGTTCAATTCAATTCTTTAATTTGTGTTTAATTATTATTTCTTTATTTTAATATGTTATTAACGTAATTTCGATTATCCTGTAATTTTAAATAAGGTGGAGGCAATGTAAATTTTGTAGAGTTTAAAGAAATTCTTCTTAAATTTGATATTATTTTTTGAAAATTAGTCATGTTCAATTTTTGTATAAAATTAACAAATCCCGAATATTTTTTAAAGTATTTTGTGTTTAGTGATTTTGTCATTGAATCAGTAATATTAAATTTACATAAATCAAATGATGTTTTACAATGTAGTGGAATAAGTCCTAAAATTGCAAAAATACTATTTCGACGACAAATATCATTACATTCGGAATTTTCAAAAAAATTATTTACATTTGAAATGGGTCTTTTTTCAATTTCGTCTATATTACATTTTTCATTGTTTACAGAAAGAAGACAATTTTTTATATCAAGTGGATCGGGCATATTACTCGTTGGAAGTGGTTTATCATGATTTCCTATAATTTTAGATCCATTTTCTTCGCAACTCTCAACTAATATTTCTGATGATTTAGAATTTTTACTAATATCCATTGAGATATTGTGTTCAGGATAGGATTCATCGTCACTTTTGTTATCAATTGGCTCCTCGCAACTTATTTCCCAGGTATATTGTTCACCATGATTGTTTACATTGGGTTTTTCTGAAATATCAAAAAAAAAAAAAAAAAAAATGAAAATTTATCAGGAGGATAAATGGGAATTATTTTCTCACCTTCGGTATAATTATAGTCTTCATTTTCCTCGCAACTTTCGCTTGAAATTGGTTTCTCTTGATTTGGTTTCAATGGTTTTTTATTGTCATTTTCAGAATTGGAATTTTCTTCGTAATTTTCGCTGGAAATTGGTTTCTCTTGATTTGGTTTCAATGGTTTTTTATTGTCATTTTCAGAATTGGAATTTTCTTCGTAACTTTCGCTGAAAATTGGTTTCTCTTGATTTGGTTTCAATGGTTTTTTATTGTCATTTGCAGAATTGGAATTTTCTTCGTAACTTTCGTTGGAAATTGGTTTTTCCAATTTATCTTGTTCATGAGAATTGTCAGTTTCTTCGCAGCTTTCACTCGAAATTGGTTTCTCTGAAAATTGATCTGGCTTTTCGTTGCTTCCTCGGGAATTTGATTTACTGACATTTTCTTCGTAGCTTTCAGTTGACAAAAATTTATCAGGTCTTACAGTAGGTTTTTCTTCGGAAACTTCTGGTTTCACGATGGATTTATCGTCATTTTCTTCACAACTTTCACTAGAAATTGTTATTTCTGGTTTTCCAATGGGTTTTTCTTCACTCTTGTCTTCATCTTGTTCCTTGAAACTTTCGTTGGATTTAGAAATTTCTGGTTTTTCAATTGGTGGAAGAGGTTTTTCATTTGAAATTGGAATCAGGGGTTTTTCTTTACTCTCGTCATCATTTTCTTCACAACTTTCACTGGAAATTGGAATTTCTGGTTTTCCTGATGGTCGGAGAGGTTTTTCTTCGCTTTCTTCTTCATTTTCTTCACAGCTTTCACTGGAAATTGGAATTTCTGGTTTTCCAGATGGTCGGAGAGGTTTTTCTTCGCTTTCTTCTTCATTTTCTTCACAGCTTTCACTGGAAATTGGAATTTCCGGTTTTTCGGATGGACGAGAGGTTTCCTCCTCACTTTTAGATAGATGCATCGATTCATCTTCAGTTTTATCTCCTTGTTCTTCACAACTTTCACTTGAAATTGGTTTTTCAGGTTTTCCAGTTGGTTTCTCTTCAGTTTCAGGTCGATAAATTGGTTCCTCTTCAATTTTATCTCCATGTTCCTCATAAATTTCAGTGGAAATTAAAATTTCCGGTTTTTCAGTAGGTCGAGTTGGTTTTTCAGGTCGTTGAGTTGTTTCATCGTAAAGATCAATTTCAATTGAAATAATTGATTCTTCATTAGATGATTCAGATTTCTCATGAGATTCTATTGAATAATTTGATTCTGTAAAATCAATAGATGATTCAGTGTCATGATGAGAATAACTTTCATCACTTTCATCCGTTAAACTTGAATCTTCCTCGGATAAACTTGATGTATCATTAGGACAAGGTTTTGATCCATCTGGATAAATTGGTCCCTCTAAATTTTCTTCAAAACTAACTTCCGGTGGTGTTGGTATCTCCGTAATTTCTTCTGATGTTCCTGTTGTTCCTAATTCGTGTGACTCAAAACTATCATTATGATAATGTTTATATGGAATAAAAATCATTCTATCCAAACCATTAATCAATAGAGTTCCATCAGAACGTTTTTTTTTATTTTTTTCTTCATTTTTATATATTGCCTTTTCATTTATGGCATTTCGTTTAAAAATATTTACACTTGATAAATTTATTTTTGAATTTGATAATGGAATATTGGTTAATAAATATCCTACACCTACTATAATTATAATAATAATAATTCTATTAATTTTCAACATCTTGAACAACAATATTGTACAACTGAATGGAAATAGGATTTTTTTTTCATGATTAATTGCTATCGATTTTATGCCTTTTGTAAAACAATTGGAAAATGATGATTACGTTGAGTTGGCAGATTAAATATTACCTGTTGATGATGAATTTTCTTTTCCGTGTAAAAAAATATTTCTATTTTTTATTCTTATTCATTTGGAAAAAAAAATTACTTTTTTTGTTTTATAAATAATAAAATGCAAAATATTTTCTAATTTTAAAAAATTAAAACAATGGATATGGAATTATAATTTTTTTATCGATAAAATTGAAAAATATTTTTTTGAAAAACTGCTGATTATATTAAAATTGTAATTAAAATTAAAATTTATTATAAAAATTTATAGATGAACAAAAAAAAATTGTTATTTCTAATTCAATTGGTGACGTAAAAAGCTTTTCTTAAAACCTCAATCGATTGAAATTAAAGCTTGCGCAGTAAAAGCAAAGCCACGCGACGTCGCACTATTTATTCGTTCAAGTCTTTAAGGATAGTGATTTTCATTCATTATTTTTCTATAGAGAAATTAGGTTATTGGAAATAAAGTAAGTAGATCAGTGTAAACATTTATATATAAATACTTTGTTCTCATATAATATTGAATAAAAATAATATTAGTCTACAAACAATAAATTACCATTTTTATATCATTCATGATTTTATTCTAGACAAATTGTTTTTATTAATTTTTCTATTAAATTAATTTACTGTCATCAAATATTGTCAGTTTATTTCAATAATTTTCATTTATATTGTTATTAATTTTTTGGGATTATTAATTTATGGGGGAGAAAAAAAAAATATTCTACCGCATGTGAATTTAAAGTATCAAGATGGAAGTATTACTGAAGCTCGAAAGTTGAAAAAAAAACAAATAATTGTTATAAAAGTTGGTAATTATTGAAAAAATATATTTTTAAAAAATTTGTAAGTTTATTTATGGAATATTTGATTAAAATATCTTTTTCTAAATTATATTATATAATATATTTAATATAATAAATAACAAATAATAATAAATTAATTAATTATTTAATTGCAGAATTAAAAATGCCGTCAGTTCGAAGAATGATACTTGGCCATGTGATATCGGATGTATGTGGAAAAATGAATAGAAGAAAAAATTTACAAGGAGACATTATGGAAACTCCATTAAAAAGATGTCTTTCAACATTTGATATCACATTACTCGGTAATTTTATTTAATTAATTTCTTATATATGTTAAAAAATTATTTTTATAATTTATACGTTTAATTATTTTTTTAACATTCATATTAAATAGGTGTGGGTCATATGATTGGTGCTGGAATTTACGTTTTAACTGGAACAGTCGCACATGATATAGCTGGACCAGGAGTAATTGTTAGTTTTATAATTGCTGGACTTGTTTCATTATTGGCTGCACTTTGTTATGCAGAATTTGGAGCTAAAGTCCCTAAGGCTGGCAGTGCCTATATTTATACATATGTCACAATTGGCGAATTTTGGGCATTCGTCATTGGATGGAATATTATTTTGGAGCACATGATAGGTAAGTATAAAAAATATATATATTAAAATATTAAGTAAAAATTGTAAACAACTCTTTTTTTTTCAATTTCAGGTGCTGCATCTGTTGCAAGAGCATGGAGTGGTTATGTTGATTCATTATCAGGAGGTACTATAAGTAATTTTACAAATCAATTAATTGGTGATCGAATGAAGGGTAATCCATTGGGTCATGTACCGGATCCATTGGCGGCACTTTTATGTATTATTTATTCATTACTTTTGGGACTTGGAGTCAAATGTTCTGCAACTGTTAATTCATTTTTGACTCTTATAAATCTTATTGTTATGGCCCTTGTAATAGGTCTTGGTATTTATCATGCGGATTTAAAAAATTGGAGTTCAGAAAATTATAGTTTTATGCCTTATGGTTTTCATGGTGTTTTGGCTGGTAAATATTTATTTAAAAAAAAAAAAATTAGAATGGAGATATAATTATTTGTTTTATAGGTGCTGCAACTTGTTTCTATGCATTCGTTGGTTTTGATTCAATTGCAACTTCCGGTGAAGAAGTTCGTGATCCATGTCGTAGTATACCAATAGCCACTGCCTTTTCCATGGGAATTGTAACCATTGGATATGTTCTTGTTAGTGGAGCTCTAACTTTAATGGTTCCATTTTGGGAAATTAATCCCTCGGCAGCATTACCAGAAGCATTTGCATCAAAGGGAATTTATTGGGCGAAATATGTTATTAGGTAAATATTTTTTTTAAATTAATTTATTCTTTTTTTGAGAATGATGGTAAATTATTTTTTTTAGTGTGGGTGCCCTCTGTGGAATGACGACAACTCTATTTGGATCATTATTTTCATTGCCTCGAACTTTGTATTCAATGGCAACTGATGGTCTACTTTTTGGCTTTTTGGGACGAGTGAATTCTCGCACTCAAGTGCCTATTGTAAATTTGGCAATTAGTGGTGTAATTAGTGCTCTACTTGCTCTATTCTTTGACCTTCAACATCTAGTCGAATTTATGTCAATTGGTACCTTTCTGGCCTATACAATAGTTTCTGCCAGTATTATAGTTCTAAGATATCGACCAGAGAAAGTTTTATCGCCAATTTCTACAACTAGCACATCGAGTACTCTCACATCACCGCCTACGGAAGGTGCTGATTCTAGTAGTGATGGACGTAGTATGACTTCTGCCGAATCGGAGGTATTATACAATTATAAAAGTAGTTTAATTAATTTTTGTAATTTAAAAATTAATTTGATTACATTTTTTTTTAGCAATTATTAAATTATTGCGAAGACACTGGAAAATTGAAATTTCGTTATGCATGGTTGGCAAAATTTATTGGATATTGTGATCCTGGAACTGTTGTGTCAATGTCTATAACATTCTATGCAATTGGATGCATCGCTCTATGTACTATACTTATTCTCATACTACAAAGTTTATCGTTACCAACATGGTCGGACTATATAATGATCGTCAATTTAATTCTCTTTCTTTCAGGATGTAAGTTTTTAATAAATTAAAAATATATATATATATATATATATATATATTTAATAAATTCTACTGTAAATTAAAAATTTACAGGTCTGTTTTTGATACACGCGCACAAACAAACACCTAGTACAGGAAGTTTTCGCGTACCTCTAGTTCCACTAGTGCCAGCGATGAGTATGTTTTTTAACATTGGCCTCATGTTTCATTTATCACTTTTAACGTGGTTACGATTTCTCATCTGGATGCTAGTAGGCAAGTTAAATTTGTTTTTTTTTTCATACAAAGAGAAAGAAAATACAAATTAAACGAAATTATTTCTTTTTAGGAATGTTTATATATTTCTTCTACGGAATTCATTATAGTAAAGAAGCTGGAGGTCCAAATTCTTATTCAATTTTAATGGCAAGTTCAGAAGCAGGAAGAGGAGCAAAATGGGGATCCACCTTACGAGTAGGTCAAAAAAGTGATAAAATGCCTATTCTAGACAACGACGATTTATCCCATTAATTGAAAGAAAAAGATAATTTTTTTTTTTTTAATTCTGATATCATATATGTGACCTAAAACTATTCAAAGAGATAATAAGTAGAATTTACAAATATTTAAAAGGTATCTTTGAGTATCAGAAATAATATTTCTCTAACTATATCTTTCAAAATGAATTTAAAAAAAAAAATTTTCCTCCAATTTTAAGAAAATTTTTATTTAAACGAGGAACTTTTTATATATATAGAAAAAAGAAAATTTTTTATTTTCTCATTAGTTGCGACAACTATTGAGTTAAAAAAATTCTTTTTTTTAATGTTGAGCGCACAATAATTTATTTTAAAAAATGAGACACAATTATTATTAATTTTTTTCTTTTGTTGATAATTACTATATACTTTTTTGATAATTATTTTAATAATTCAGAACATATATGATATTGATAATAATTGATTGATATGACTAAATTTATAAAATATATAAATATATCGATTTAAACAAGACTGGTTCCTTATCAAAAAAAAATACTAAGTTTAATTGAAAATAAGTATTTTATAAAATCAATTACATAAAGACACTTGTCATTATGATTCTTTTATGAATGAATTTAATAAATTTTAATAAATTACTTATAAAGTATATTGTAAAGAAAAATAGAAAGTAAACAAAAATTGAAAAAAGTAAATATCTATATGTGCAATATTACAAAAATACAAAAGAATGTTTAAAGAAAAAAAAATGTGTAAATTTTAAAAATTTTATAATCTAGTTAAATAATTTTATTCGAATTATAAAGAATAATTTTAAATTCTAATAATTCTGTTTTTCAATAATTAATTCTATTGTTCGTATAATTTATAAATTTTAACAACAAATTCAAATTAATGTCAATAATAACTACTTTACATTTGAAATATTACTAATACCTCTGCCAATATCAGTATTGAAACTCATATTTTATTTTTATGTGATAACTATATGTAAATGTGAAAAAAAAACTAAATGCATATGGAAAAAAAATTTATTTAATTTAAATAATCGGTTTCTTGATTATAAACAAATAAATATTTGATTGACTAAAATAATTCTTTGATAATAATCAAATAATTGATTATTTAAATCAAATAAACTTTTTTTTTGGAGCATAATATTACCCTTGTTGAAATCTATGGGGTCCAAATTATTAAATTATTTTGTCAATATTATATCGTTTATAATAAACATATATATTGAAAATAGAAATATGTGAAAGTGACGAAAGGTAATATGTTACAGGCATTAAAAAATTATATTAATGATTGATGGTGCCTTTGGAGAGAATATTTTAGAATATTTAAAATAAATATATATTGTTATTAAATTATTTTGATTATAGTGATTTTATATATTTATTTTCAGGATTTAAATTACTATAGTTCATTATATAAAATAAATTAAAAAAAATATATTAAATTATTCGTCCAAGTTATTAGCTAATAATTAATTAGGTAATTATAAAAATTTATTATTTTTTTAATCAATTATCAGATAGTAATTTTGTTATCAACATTTTGAATAAAAATCATATTCAATAAAATTAAAAAGCACTATTCATTAATTTTCAAAAAGCATCGACATTTTTTTTTTAAGCACAGCACAATAATTAAATATACTTTAAAAAATATTTTTCTAACTAAATTTGAAAATGTTTTAAAAAATAATTTTAATTTGAAATTAAATAAAAAACGAATAAAATATGAAAGTAAATTGAAAATTTGAAACAAGCACAATAAACATAATGTTACATAACTTTTTTTATTTATTAAAAAACTGACACTCAATGAGAAAGCATTTTCATTTTTTTAAACGGGCTATAACAATAATTATTGTAAATAAAACTCGATGTTTGTTAATATGAATTTATAGTTATGTTTTTTCTTTCTAGAATATTGATTTCTTCCGAAAAAAATAAAAAATTGCTAAAAATTATGTAAAAATAATATATATTGATAATTGTTAATGTGAACAAAGAAACAAATCTATAAACGCATAATAAATTATAAATTGCTGTCTTAGTTTGGAAATAATTTACATAATTGAAAATTCGGTGTATATCTATAATTTTGTCAATTATTATATTTTCGACAAAGCGACATGTATCTATTAATACATAAATATGTTCTTTAAGTATAATAAGAATTTATTTATCAAACGTAGGATAAAAAATTTAAGTTATCAAAAATATAAGAAATTATATACGTTTGAAATAAAAATATTGCGAAGTTAATTATTTACTTGTGTATCTCATTTTTTGAAAATTAATTTTGTACCTCTAATTTTTACCGTTTTATTTTTTATTGTTATCAACATTTTTTTTTTATTCATGTAACTCGAATCAAGGTATAATAGTCATTAACGTCAAAAGATGATTAAAAATTCCAAAAACAAATCTTGATTAAAAACAATTAAATTGCATGTACTTAAGTTAATTGCTAATTCAATCATTTTTAGAATTTTTTTTATAACTTTAGATGATAAATAAAATTTTTTTTTAGAAGCATAAAAGGATATGAACTCATATTCAACTTGCTCTTTTCGATTTAAGTCAGAAATATATTTAATCTACAAATTTTCTTCAATACAAATTTAAAAAAAACACATCAATGACCTATATTGATAAAAATATGTTCCTGAAAATTTGTTTTATCATGGCTACAGCTAATTTATTAATATTAGCTAAGAATATCGAAACGGGACCATCGAAAAAAGATAATTCTACAAACATAGGAGAACAGGAACATTTACGTACTTTTAATGTAAGTTTATTTAAATTATTAACACAAAATTTTAGATATTTCAAAAAAAATCGCAATTTAAATTCATTAAAATTAAAAATAATTAAACTAAATAAATAAAATTATTAAAATTATTATTATTATTTATTACTTATTATTTATTATTATTATTAAATTAATAATTAAATTATTTATATTCTTTTTAAATATATTATGCAAAATGATCGATTTTTTGATTTTAGGATACTTTGCCTCAAAAATTAAAACTTGGTTTTAATCAGGAATCAATCATCAAATTATTTGTAGGTATCAAAAATGTAAAAAAGAAATATTAAAAAAAAAATTATATTCATGACAAAATAAAAAAAGGCCATTTAAAAATTATAATGTATGAAAAGAATGAAATTATATTTTTACAATTATTTTATTTTAATTTTTCAGTTAGAAAAAAACTTTGATGGTGTAAAAGCTTCTGTTGTTGTGGCACCAGATTCTATAAAAAATGAAAGTGCAATCGAAGTACATCATGTTTAAAACAAATACTTCTGCAGATTCTCCTAGATTACAAAGAACTTTATCCGCTTCCAAATGCTGCGGATCACGTCGAATATTAAATTAAACTATACAAAAATATTTAATTTATTAAATTTTCTATCTTCAGAAAATGAAAAAAATTTAATAAAAAATTTTTGAACAAAAAGAATAATTTAATTACATTCTTCACTGAATCTTTTTTTTAAGTAATATAATTAAATTTAGAATTTTTTCTAAATTAAAATTTTTATTAATATAAATTTTCAAAATTTTTTAAAGTTCCCGCCTATCGCGCACATGTTGCACTGCACATGCGTGACAGAATGTAACATAACCTTAAAAAGTGCACGTGTTTATGGTGCGATTAACGTGATATGTCTTTTTCTGTTAAACTTTTATTATTAGTTTATTCTTTCTGAAAAAAAAATACAAAATAAATTGCCAAAATGGGTAAAAAATCAAAAATTGGAAAGCAGAGAAGGGATAAGTATTACCAGTTAGCCAAAGAAACTGGTAAGTCATAAATCATTACAATTGTCAAACATGAAAATCTTAATTTAATAAAATCTACCATATTAATTGATTATTTATGGTAGATAAATAATTTTTTAAATTAGAAAACTTTTTTTAATAATTTAACATTGAAAACATCACTTGGTATTTTTTTTTTCATTAGCTACAATTTTGAGGTTATGTTTCAAACAAAAATGTGTTTTTTTTAAGTGTAAAAAAATTCATGTAAAGTTATTTGTTTTTCAATTAATTAATATTGTAAATTAAATTTGACATTTAATACTTTAGCTTCGTGATATATTAAAAAATATGGTATTTTTTCAGGTTACAGATCTCGTGCAGCTTTCAAATTAATACAATTAAATCGTCGATTTGAATTTTTGCAAAAATCAAGAGTATGTATCGATTTATGTGCCGCACCAGGAGGATGGATGCAGGTAGCACAAAAAAATATGCCAGTATCGTCAATTGTTATTGGCGTTGATTTATTTCCAATAAAACCCGTTCCCGGATGTATTAGTATCAAAGAAGACATTACATCGGAAAAATGTCGAGTCGCATTAACACGCGAATTAAAAACATGGAAAGCAGATGTTGTCTTAAATGATGGTGCACCAAATGTTGGAAAAAATTGGCTTCACGATGCATATCAACAATCAGTTTTAACATTAGCCGCTTTAAAACTTGCCTCACAATTTTTACGACCTGGCGGATGGTTTGTTACAAAAATTTTCCGATCGAAAGACTATAATCCACTTATGTTTGTATTCAAGGAATTATTCAAAAAGGTAAATTTGATTTGAAACAATTTTTCTATATTCACCAATTTTGGTGTTTAATTAATTATAATTTATTTTTAGGTTCATGCTACAAAACCACAGGCATCACGTAATGAATCGGCTGAGATTTTTGTTGTCTGTCAACATTTTATTGCACCCGATAAACTCGATGCCAAATTTTTTGATCCAAAACACGTATTTTCTGAACTCGAAATTGATTCGACAAATAAATTAAATTTCTTTCATCCAGAAAAACAAAAGCGAAGCAAAGCCGAAGGATATCCAGAAAATGATTACACTTTGTATCATAAATTATCTGTTAAAGATTTTATTTCAAGTGAAAGTGGAGTTGAAGTTTTGCAAAATGCATCAGAAATTGTACTTGACGATGAGAGGATAGCGAATCATGTGAGAACGACAAATGAAATAAAAGAATGTTGTAAAGATATTAAAGTTTTAGGTAGAAAAGAATTGCGATTATTGCTTTCATGGTGGAAACATGTGAAAGAGGAATTAAATAAAGAAAATGTTGATAATGAGAAATCAGAAGATAAAGAAACTGAAATTAGTCCAATAACACAGGAGGAAGAGGAAGATTTGGAAGATGCAAAAATTCAAGGAGAAATTGATAAAATAAAAGAAGACGAACTTCGTGAATTAAAGAGAAAGAAGAAAAAGGCAAGTAAAGAGAGACAGAAATTAAATGAAAAACTTAATTTAAAAATGGTATTGAAAGGTGATGAGGGACCAATATTAGAAGGAGACGATATGTTTACTTTGAAGGAAATTAAAACTATTGATCATTTAAAATCAGTAAGCGATCAAACACCCGATGTTTTGGCTGAAAGTGAAGACGATGACGATGAGCCAAGTGCGATGTCAAAAAAAATTAAATATGATAAAGAAGAGGGTCATTTAGATAGTTCTGGTTTATATTATAAAGATGAAAGTAGTGATCCAGACAATTCAGACGCTGATGAATCTGACAGTGATAAATCAGGATTAGGATTAAGTGATTCAGAAGATGATAGTAAAAAATTGAAACTAACTAAAAAGAAAAAACCAATAATTGACTCGGAAAATAATCCCCTTATAACTGATTTGGATAATCGTGATAAAAAATCGAAACGTACTCAAAAGGCACAATTATGGTTTGAAAAGGATATTTTCAAAAATTTGGAAGACGAAAAAGATGAGGACTATGAATTGGATAAAATGGTTGAAGCTTTAGAGGAAAAGGGTGGAACAGTTATTAGTAAGAAAAAAGATTTGTCAAATAATGGAAAGAGAAAAGATGTTGAGGAGGATGATAATTCAGATTATGATATGGAGGAAATGATGTCGCCAACAAAGAAAGTGAAAAAAGTTGGTGGAAAAGATGGATTTGAAGTTGTTGCTAAAGAATCGAAGGATAAAATTAAAAAACGAAAATTAACTGAAGAAGATTTAGCTCTGGGTTCACTTATGATTAAAAGTAAAAAATCACGACGTGATTTAATTGATGGTGCTTGGAATCGATATATGTTTAATGACGATAATTTGCCTGATTGGTTCCGAGAAGACGAAGATAAACATATGAAGAAAGAAGCTCCAGTGCCTAAGGAGCTTGCGGACGAATATAGAAAGAGAGTTGAAGATCTTAATGTTCGGCCTATTAAAAAAGTTCTCGAAGCTAAAGCAAGAAAGAAGAAGCGAGCAATTCGAAAACTCGAAAAGGCGAAGAAAAAAGTCGAGACCATTATGGATAATGTGGACATGAGTGATCGGGAAAAGGCAAAACAAGTCAACGCGTAAGTTTTTTTTTAAATTAAATTTCCTAGATAGATAGAAATTATTTATATTAAAAAAAGAAGTTTTTTTTAAAATTAATTTTAGTAATATACTAACAAAAAAAAAAATTTTACATTTAACATGTTTTCAATTCATTTTTTTAACAACTTTCTGAAACTTTACAGTGAAATAAATTAGTTTTAATGGAAAATTTTCTGATTTGTCAACTTCATTTTCAGACTTTACAAAAAAGCTCAAAAAGAGCCGAAAAAGGAATTGACTTACGTCGTTGCCAAGAAATACATGGCTCAGAAACGAGCTGTCAGACCAGCCGGAGTGAAAGGTCGTTACAAAGTTGTAGATCCTAGAATGAAAAAGGATTTACGAGCTGCAAAGGCAAAAGAAAAGACGAAAGGTCGTGGAAAGAAAAGTCGCGGTAGCAAACCACCCAGGGCAAACACCAAAGTCCCAAAAGGCAAAAGGACTAAATAAAAAAAGAAACCTAATCTATAAATTTGGTTCGTGATTTTTTTTTTCTATTATATTTTTTTGTTCTCTGTTTAATTGAAAATGAATTCTAATTTTTTTACAATTAGAATTCTAATTTTGCTAATTTAATTGAGTTTTGTAGAAATCGAAAATTTCTAAAAAGAAAAAAAATATATATATATAATTTGCATTTTTGGAGGCAAAACAAAAAAAAAAATTGTGTTTCGAGATTAACTTCGACTTACAGATGAAAATTATTGTGTACATATTTATCATATGTTGTATTGTTGAAACTATTTTTCAATTCGACGGAATACTGAAGAAAAAATATTTCTTTGAAAGATACTTTTGATATTACATTGAATTTATCTTTAATGAATAATAATAAATAGAATTATAGTTGCAAATAGATTTTATTATTATTCTCGAAAATCCAATTCAAATAATGAAATACTTCCAAGAAAGCAAATAATTGAAATATAAAAATTTTTTTTATAGAAAAAAAATGAATTTACGAATTTGTTGAATCACTTTTTTTTTTTTTAATATAAATTTTAATATATTTCCTTGAACTCAAATTGTGGGGGTCGTTTATATTTTACTTCTGGCATTTGATAGTAATTTCTTATCCGGGTTACGCTGCCAATTTCTCACAGCGGTCGTGACTCTTGCGCGATGATATTCTTTTTGCGATTCATCAAGCCACTTGATGTGAAATGGCGATTATTGTTTTAAAGTTTGCCAAAGTTTGTGAAACCGGAATTTATTTCTCAATCATAAAAAGCATATTCTGTTTTTTGATGTCCTCTCTCACTTCTAATTAACAATATTTTCTTTCTTTCAATATATTTGAACGAAATTAGAAAATTTTTAACATATTTTTTTAAAACAAAAATTTATAATTCGCAATTGAGTTTCTTTGGAATTTGTAATTGTCAAAAATTATTTTCATTTAAAGAATTATTTTTAATTATTTTATTCTTTTTTTTTTTTGAGAATAAAGGAGAAATGTTATCGAACAATTACCTTCTGCGTATCAGAGGATGTCTCGAACAATCTTCCGCATAAAATTGAAAATATAAATAGCTTTTATCTTTGAAACAACACAAACGTTATAAGTGGCCTTGCACATTGACTCAACGAATATCAGAGCATTTTTAGCAATGATTTTTTGAAGGCCAAAAAATCAGATATATATATATAATGACTCGATGTTAAATGGCATTTTTTTGTTTTTTTTTCTCCGTTTAATGGCTTTCGAAAAATTGCATACAAGTATCGAATTCATGTGAAATATTAACGTTTTTAAAGGCACATTTCAATGACAGTTTTTTTTTGGGTCTTATAATCGACTTGTTATCTATAGAAATAATATAAACTGTTATTTAATGTCTAGACGATTCTCGTAGTTGTAAAAAGTCAAGGTGAAAACTGAAACACTGTTAAAAAAAAGTTTGTGATTTATAAAAATAGAAGAGGGATCATAGTATTTTTTAAAAATTTTAAATTCCCCAAAGTGACGTCAGTTAAAATATTTTTCAAATTCAATTTTCATTGGAAATTTATAGAATTATTATATGAATGACGATAGTCGGAAAATATTTTTTTATAATCCAAATTTTCGAAAGATTATTTTTTTCTTGTTTTATTCAAGTTTATACAGAATTTATTTTTATTATTTATTGTTATTAGTTTATTTTTGTTATTATTAATTTTCTTTTATATTATTTAATTTTATTATTAATAATTTCAGAAAATTTGTTAAATAACAAAATTGAATTGAAATAATTTTAATAAAAAAATTTTTTTAAAAAAAAACGAACAATTTATTAATTGTTTAGAAAAAAAGTAATGCCAATCTATAAATGAATTTGTTAATTTGGATATTTTTAGGATGTTTACGATGCAATAAAAATTGATCGTAAATAACGAAGGTCAGTATACAATATTTTTTCCGGTTCGTATAGATCGATCTAGATATTCAACATGATTTTTAAAACAAAGTCCAAGGAAACTCACGTTTTACTGTTAGTTTATTCATTTATTTATTCTTTTATCCTTTTTTTTTTATTTTTGGATGAGGTCAAATTCGCCGAATAATCTTTTTATAGTAATCGAGAGAGAGAAAGAAAGAAAATATTAGGAAAAATTTGTGAAAGATAAGAAAAGAAAAGAAATTTGGTAATTTCAAAAACTTGTTGAAAAAAATTTAGTGAAGAATTCACATTTCTTCAAATAGAATAATATTGCAATGTGATTTAATTTTTTTTTTGGGGGGGGAATTTCCGCAATTTAGAAATTTTGTTTAATTCTAAAAAAAAAGTGATTGAACGATATTCTAAATTTAAAATGACGTTTCCTGACTTTCGCTCCGCCCACCTGTCCGTTAAAATGCACCCAAGTCCACGGCTTCCTCGACCTCCGGATTTCACGTCATCAACGCTCTGATGCAACTGCGTAGCGTCGGGACGCTGCTGTGGATGTCAAGGTCAAGGTCATCGCACCTAGCGTTTCACCACTTAAAGTTGTTCTCGCATTCGTCAATTTTCCTTAAATGTTTGTCACCGATACAATTTGTAATTTCATGGCCAATATTCTTGTTTACTTTTAAACTCAAAATGAAAAGATCTTTGGAAAATTTTTAGAAAATTAAATAATTTTTCTTTTTTTTTCGAAGTAATTTTGAATAATTATTAAAGTTTTAGAAAAATTTTTTTTATAAATTTGGAAGATAAAAGAAAATAGCTTGCGAATTAGAAAAATAATGAATTTTTGTAATTAATAAATAGTTTTAAAAAAAGAAATACATCGATGTCTTATGACGTAATTGAAAAAATTAGAAAACAAAAGAAATATCCTGAAATTATCCTTCGTATCCTTCGCCCACACAAATATATATATATATATATAACTTGCGTCAAAAATGACCTCGATCTTTTCATTTCTTTTCAAGTTCATCTAACTTGGAAACATCAAGGGTTCATCTAATTTGAAATATTTATAAAGATATAATTTTATTTTACATAAATATATTAATTTATAAAAATTCATATTTTAATTCAGGATTAAATTTTTTATTTCTTTTTTTTTAGAAAGAATTTTTCAGAAGAAGAAAGAAGAATCGCTTCAAATTTTTGAAGAAAAATGTTCAAGAATATAATAATCGGAGAATGTCTTTAAATATAGTGGTATAGAAATAATTTTGAAGAAAACACGAAGGAGGAAAAACGAAGTTATTATAGAGAAGTTATGAACAATTTTTGCCATTCAACCTTGAAACGATTTAAAATTGGAAATTAAATTTATCAGTGAACATAATTTGGAGGTGAAAATTCTGCTTTTATTTATTGGTTAAAAGTGATGGACTTATGTATATTTTTCTATTGCAGTTGTACGACCTTCAATTGCACTCTGGAGTATGGACCTGTGGCTGATGTGTGATAAGGTCAAGGTTAATCTATAGCTTCAACTTGAAGTGTCGCGCTTTGATGGTATGATCGAGCGAGTTGCGCGCGCCACGACGCTTGCGTCGCGACGCTCTCAAGCCATGGCCAAGGTCATTCCTGGTCACGGGCACCCTCGAGGTTAATGCAAAATTTCTCTCTTCTAACAAGGTCCTATAGGGTCGAGTTGGAGGTCACTCCGACGATTCAACCCGATAAAGAATTTTTTTTTTTTTTTTTTTTAATTTTTCTACAAAATTCATTTAAAAAATTTATTTTTAATCTATTTAATGGATTTTTTAGATACTAATAATTTTCTCAAATTTTTGGGAGTATTTTTTTAAATTCAGCAATTTTTTCTTTATTTTAAAAATAGAAAAAAATATATTTTCAATTATAAACAATTATTTTTTAAAAAAGAATTCGGGAAGATGTAGTTAATTTTGAAAAATGATTAATTGAAAAGAAAATTGATAATATATTATTCATATAAGAAATTAACCTTCACATTCATTTTATCCTCGAGTTTATCGAGATTGTAAAATAGAAACTTTTCATAATTATTATGGGGATGTTATCTTGTTTTACATGCTTTATAAATTTTTTTAATTTCTTTATTTTTTTTTTTTTAGATATATACGTATAATTCGTTTTAAAATTAATAAAAAAAAAGAGTTAAATATTTTTCACTTCAATTGAAAATTTTCCTTTAAAATTGAGAGGATTTGAAAATAAAAAGAATGAGGAAAAATAGCAATTTTTTGGAATGAAAATAATTGTTTTTTTTTTTGCATATAAAAAAGTAAATTTTAAAGAAATGTGGAATTATATATTGACATTGAAGAAATTCAGTGGCTGCAGTGAGTTGACCTAGAATAAAATTGTACGATTATTGAGTAGGTCAGTTATTCGGTTGGCAGAGGCAATTGCAAAGTAAAGAGGCAAAGGTTGCGACCTCGAGTAGCTTTGAACGGGTGGTAGGTCGAGGATATTCTTATTGGCGATTCTAGAGCGCATTGAGGGTGGTTAGAGTCATTCTATAGGTGTTGTCTCGCCCCCTTGTTTCACCCGGGGGCGGACAAGTTCAAGGCCACGTTGTCCGGGTCGAGTCCGGACATACTAATACAATAACTATATATACATAATGCACTATCCACTTTTCCGCCTCTGTCCATAACTAAAAAAGAATAATTTCTAAGAGGTAACTTGTTCTAATTAAACAAGAATTCATTATTTTCAAAATACATACAATAATTAATTCTCATCTTTTAAGAGAGGGTATTAAATATTTTTTTTTTTTAATTGTTATATTGGTCAATTGTAAATAATATTAGCTTCCTTTACTCGGAAATCGAATGAAATAACATGTCGATAATATCATCATTTGTTTGATATTAAATAGTGACACTAATTAAGTTACTAATAGACATTATGTAAATCATTTTTTTTTTCATCGATGAGGAAGGAATAAATTAAAATTACAAATTTTACATATATACGTTAAATTCAACCTTGATATAACATCATTATGCAGTGTAAAATATTTATTCAGTTTGTATTTTTTTAATCTTAAGACCAAAAACCGGTTTCATAAAAAACATATTTAAAGAAAAAAAAATAAATTTGTAAAATAAGTCACAGCGCATTTATCAAAAATATATTTGGAAAAATAATTCATTATTCCTATAATGATAATATCATTTAAAAAAATATATATATTTTAACAAAAAAAAATTCATTTAATTTAAATAATTTCATTTTTTGTTATTTATTAATAATTAATGTATATTTCTATTTTTTTTTATCACTTTTCTCTCTAAAAAAAACTATGTCTCATGTCGTCTCATGTGTATAAAAATGGAAAAAATGATTCGTGTTCCATGGAGTTGTAATATAGTTTTATGGAAAAAATAAGAAAGAATTTTCCGAGAATCTAGAAAATATATTTACCCTATTATGTACTA